CTTTCCCGGAACCCAGTGCCCTTCCCACTCTGGGCTGGACCCGCCCCTGGTTCCTCGAAAGCTCAGCGGCGGGGCTCGGGGTGGCCCTGCCCGGCAGCTGGCACCGGGAAGCGGGAAGCGGAGAAGTTGCTGCCGCAGCCACAGCCAGCGAGCCCGGACCCGCCATTCCTGATCCCCACCCTGTGCCTTCGCATGCCTCGGCGTCCCCATCACCACCCCCTCGACGGCCTGGACCTGCTGGCGCCCTGCTCGCCCCGTGTATGGCCGTGTCCCCTTGGTTCCTAACTCCCCCTAGCCCCCCACCGCACACCCGCCCCGCCCCTCCCCAGGCCCTTCTCCCTTCTTACTCCCTGGGATCCCGGATGGGGCAGTAGAGGTAAGGGGCGGGCCCACGACAGTCAGTCCAGGGGGACCCTGACACAGAAGGATGTGAGGTGGGGACATTAAGGGGCGGCTGGGCTGGAAGATGGAGGGGGGAGGGGGAGGGAGGAAGAGGGCCAGGCCATTGATCGGAGCATCCCTGGTTCTGCCTGCAGTGACCGCAGCACCCCAGGAGCCCCCTGCCCGGCTCCCCAAGGCAGGCGGTGGACTCAGCCAAGCCCCTGGACGCACCATGCGCGGCACCACGCTGCTAGCCCTGCTGGCGCTGGTCCTCCTGTACTTGGTGTCGGGCGCCCTGGTGTTCCAGGCCCTAGAGCAACCCCATGAACAGCAAGCCCAGAGAGAGCTGGGGGAGGTCCGGGAGAAGTTCCTGAGGGCCCACCCCTGTGTCAGCGACCAGGAGCTGGGGCACTTCATCAAGGTGCGCGGCTGGCAAGTGGAGCCCCTGGTCAGTCACCCATGCCAGTGTGGGGGCCTTGTGCTGTCATGCTGCTCTGAGACTGATTCCTGCGGGGTACAGGGAGCAGGTGGGGTGGGGCAGTGCCTGGGAGACAAGCTTCCGCTTTCTCAATGCGATGGCCATGGGTCCTGATGTTGTCCAGACGGTGCCTGGCCAGTGACGTCAGCCTTGAACGACTCCTTCACTGTGTGATGGGGCTGGGAGGCAGGAAGGAAGGAATGGTAGTACCCCGTTGCTCTGGACTAACTCACTGCTTGAGGGTTAGGGTTGAAAGATGAAATTTAGACAGCCAATTTCATGTGAACGTCAGATAAACAACGGATGCTTTTTCTCTTTTTCTTTTAGTATGAGTATGTTCCATGTAATATTTTTATTTGCTAGTCTCGTCAGCCCTACCCTGGTTCCGACACAATTTTGGAACCACAAATACCTCCGAGAAGCCCGTTGAGAAGACTGGGAATGCCCGACACCCCCCCACACACACACACACACACAAACCAAGAAATGACCATATAGACACAACTATCCTAGAGAGTCCCAGGGTCTCTTAAAACCCCTTGGGAAGCTAGGCTAAGCACCACTTGCTCTTCAGGGCATATGCTTACCATGGGGAGGTGGCAGGGAGGCAGAGGTAGGCTTTCCTGGGACATCCTGGCCAACCAGTGGCTAAAGAAAGTTCTAGGCTGCAACCCTCTGGGCTATAGCAGGAAGGCATCCCCCTCGGTGCCTCTGGTATTTGAGCTGGTGTCTCGCAGAAAGGAGCCCTGCTAGCTCAGTGAATTAAGTGTTGGGCTGCTAACCCAAAGGTCATCTGTTCAAACCCACAAGCAGCTCTGCAGGAGAAAGAGGAGGCAGGCCTCTCCTGTAAGATGGCAGCCTCGGAGACCCCATGGTGGGGGAGTTCTACTCTTTCCTAGAGAGTTGCTGTGCATCAGACTGCCGGATGGCAAAGGGGGGTTGGGGGCCACATAGAAAGGAGCTCCTGGTGATGTCGTGGCTAAGCTCTCTGACGCTGACCAGAAAGCTGGCCTCTGAAACTTACCAGCTGTCCCATGGAAGAAATACCTGGTGATCTTCTCCTGTCAAGATGACAGCCTTGTAAACCCTGTGGGGGCAGTTCTACTCTGTCCTCCAGGGCCACGGTGAGTTGGAATGGGCTTGACAAGCAGGTGGCTTTGCTGTGGGTCACCGAGAGAAGGCCTTGGACTTGGCTCTAATAAAATGAACGCGTATTCCTTGAATCCCGAGTCCCTTCTTGTCCTGCCTGTCTTGGTGGAGAGAGTTCTAGCGGATTCTCATGGTGGCAGGACCTGGAGCAGTGACCAGGGTGGGGTGCGGCCAAGACAGCTGCCTGACGTTGTTTCTGACAATTCCAGGATGGCAGCGAGGCCCAGAGGAGCCTGGACTGAGTGCTCCGCTGGCCAGACCACAGGGCAGAGAGAGGGAGAGAACCTGACCTATTTTATCTGCACGACAGGGATTGCTTTTTTTTCTGAATAAGAAAGGGAGGGGAGGGCTCTGTGTGTGTGTGTGTGTGTGTGTGTGTGTGTGTGTATGCTTGTCAATGGCTTTGTTTTTCCCACAATAAGAAGCATGTATTGATGTAGTCAATTATGCAGCAAATAGAAGGCACCTATAGTACACTGTTCTCTACATTTTATGAACGCGGGAAAACTACACAGGCTCTGTGCTGGTGGCTGTCACATCTAGGAGAGGGGACAGACACATCGCTGTAGGGTACCATGGAAAGGGACCCTTCTTTGTTGAGAGCCTGGTGTGTGCTGGGCCCTGGGCTGGGTGCTGGGGGTGTGAGGGCGATCCCATGGCCCTTTGGAAGAGCTGGGATGGGGAAGGAGCCCCATGTGATGGGCAGAGGTGAGAGATGTCATTGGGGACCAGAGAGACCCTGATGGAGGCCCTGAGCCAGGCCACGGAGCCCGAACAGCTCCAAGTGTTTGGATAGAATCTGGACTTTGGAGATGCCTGGTCATTTGAAACAAAAACTGGAACACAGGATGACACAGGATTTTTCTCCCGCTCCTGAAGCGGTGAATTGATTGGAAAAGTTGTGCACAATAAAAATGAAATCACTTAATCATACATTTCACTTTGTGGCTTTCTTTTGAAACATTCTTATTACAGGAAGTGGGTTTGTTTCGGAAAATTAGGGAGCAAGGTTGTCCTGACTTGGGGCATTAAATGAGAGTCCCAGTAAAGAAGACTGGGAAGAGGTGGATTGGGGCTCAGAGGGAAAAAAAGGGGGGTGGGGCTGAAGGCAGGATCAGGGGGTTGGACTCTATGCTGCAGGCAGCAGGAAGCCAGGGCCTTGGGAAGGTTCATTTGCTAATGAGGCCTTGTTCAAAAGAGAAGTGCTTTATGATAGGCCCACACCCAATCTCTCTGTGCCTTGGCTCTGTGCTCCTGGTGGGAGAGCTTCTGGCCTCCCCTCTTCCTTAGTCTCTGACCTCCCATCTCTGAGGGTAAACTCAATGCCATCCAGTCATGGTGACCCTATAGGACAGAGCAGACCGGCCTCTGTGAGTTTCTGAGGCTGTCAGTCTTTATGGGAGCAGAAAGCCTCCTCTTTCTCCTGTGGCGCAGCTGGTGGTTTCAAACTGCTGACCGCTCAGTTAGCAGCCCAATAAGCAACCACTACACAACTAAGGCTTCTTCATGTAAAGTATACCAACAGACAAACTGAGACACAACCTCACTGCCTCGAGTCCATGCCGACTCATCGTGACCCTGTAGGACAAGGTAGAACTGCCCCTGCTGGTTTCCTAGACAGTAACTCCTTACCGGAGTAGATAGACCGTCTTTTTCCCATAGAGAGGCTGGTGATTTCCCATTTCAGACTTTGTATTTAGCAACTTCACACAAAATCACTAAACCACCAGAGCTCCCTAATTTAAAGTTAGGAATGGGTATATTAAATAAATGGTTGGTTGCTAAATACGACCAATCCAGCACTCTCAAAACACGGACCCGCTCCCTCCCAAAGGCTCTGGGGCCTGAAGGAGGGGAGGGCAGGCGAAAGGGGAAGACCCAGTTAGTCCATCCATTTGGTGAGCACCCACCCTAGGGTGTCATAGGGTTGGGTTTGGATTGCAGTAGGGTGATGTGTGTCTCTGATTGGCTGCAGTATTTGAGAAGACTATTCCTGGGAGAGACCGTCCCAAACTCCCATTCATTTAACCAAACATTCAAACTCAGCTCTTCAATAGGGGCTATCACGGAAACGTAGGTATGTAACAAATACTTCCGAACAAACATGGACGCTGCCTCTGTTGTTAGGGGTGTAGGCGTCACAAGAGCTCTCCAAGGTGGGCACTCTGGTCAGTAGCCACTGAGGGAGGGATGGTAGCGCCACCGAGATCATCCAGCTAGCGAGGGAGGGACTCAGACAGTCTGGTCCCAGAGTTCTTGCTCCTGACCATTGACCAACGGAAACGCTGTCCTTTGACTCTAGAGGGCAGGTAGTAGAAATGTTTGGAACACTGGGGTCAAACAGTCTTGCTCCCCGGTGAGTTGGGTCACTCCATTCGCACCTCTGTTCCAAGGGGCTGCCTTCAGGGTGGGAGAGCGGAAGAGGACAGTTCATTTTCTGCCACGGCCACCCTGTAGGACAGGGTAGACTCGCCTCTGTGGGCTTCTGAGACTATTTTTTTAAATAAATCATTTTCTTGGGGGCTCTTACAGCTCTTATAATAATCTATACATCAAGTGTATCAAGCATATTATATATGTTGCCATCATCGTTTTCAAAACATTTTTTACTTCTCCAGCCCTTGCAATCAGCTCCTCTTTCCCCCCTCCCTCCCCCACCCTCATGACCCTTGACAAATTATAATTATTATTTTCATATCTTACACTGTCCGATGTCTCCCTTCACCCACGTTTTTTGTTGGTTATACGCCGATCACTGCGATCGGTTCAACGACTGTAACTTTATGACATTGACAATGACTGTAACTTTACGAGGGTAGAGAGCCTCTTCTTCCTTCTGAGAAGTGGCTGGTGTTTTCGAACTGCTGTTCTTGCAGTTTACAGCCCAACAAGTAACCACTGCGCTACTAGGGCGCTTTAAGAGGAGAAAGAGCGAAAGAGAGAGAAACAGAGGGAGGAAGGGAGGCAGGTTAGGGGCCTAGGACTGGAGGGAGGATTGAGGGGTCTCCTGCATTCTGCTCTACAGGAGGTGGCTGATGCCCTGGGAGGGGGTGCCGACCCCGAAACCAACTCAACCAGTAACAGCAGCCACTCCGCCTGGAACCTGGGCAGCGCCTTCTTTTTCTCTGGCACTATCATCACCACCATCGGTGCGGGAGTGGACCCGGAATGGGGTGGGGGCGGGGGTTGGCCTTCCTCCTAGGCGAAAGTGCAGGGGGCGGAGCGCTTGGCCGGCGGCCCCTAGATGTCCGGCACGCCCCTCTGCTCAGGCTATGGCAACGCGGCGCTGCGCACTGACGCGGGGCGCCTGTTCTGCATCTTTTACGCGCTGGTGGGGATCCCTCTGTTCGGGATCTTGCTGGCGGGGGTCGGGGACCGCCTGGGCTCTTCCCTGCGTCGCGGCATCGGCCACATCGAAGCCATTTTCTTGGTGAGCTCCTCTACCCGCTCCCGCGGGCACCTTCCGCGGGGCTGGAGAGACCCTCCCCTCGATCCTGGCACGTGAGCGCGCCGTCCTCCCTACCCCCCCGGCCCCCCAGCCTGCACGAGCCTGGCGCGCAGGCTGGAGGGAGGGGTGGGGCTGGGAGTGGAGCCTCTCGCCCCTCCCCACAGAAGTGGCACGTGCCCCCGGAGCTGGTGCGGGTGCTGTCCGCGGTGCTCTTCCTCGTGATTGGCTGCCTACTCTTTGTCCTCGCGCCCATGTTCGTGTTCTGCTATGTGGAGGGCTGGAGCAAGCTAGAGGCCATTTACTTCGTCATAGTGACGCTTACCACAGTGGGCTTCGGCGACTACGTGGCTGGTGAGGCCGCCCTTTCCGCCCCGCGAGGGCTCACCCACCCACCCCACCCCGCCCACCTTATTCCTGCCCAGGGACTTTGCACGTTCACCCTCCCCACGCGGGACTGGTGGGCGAACCTGCAGTGATGGCGCCAGCACCTGCGGCCGCTCTCAGAACGCACCTCACATCCTGGCCCTCCAGCAAAGCCTCCGTGGGGGGGGCACCCGCGCGCTTGGAGAATGCTCACGTTTGCACAAATGCACTCCTCCCGCCTTCTTGCCCACGGACTCACTTTCTCGTGTGTGCTGCACTCCTCTGCATGGGCGCATTCCTGCACACCCACACTCACTTATTCACACGCCTCGCCCTCCCCCCAGCACATCACCATTGCCTTTAGTAGGGCTGGACTTCTACAGCTGGGCAAAGGGGACCTGGCTGCGCTTAGGCGACGGCTCCTGCCCCATGATCAGTTTCTCTCCACCCTTCTTGGTGCTCTCCCAGGTGCTGACCCCAAGCAGGACACGCCGGCCTACCAGCCACTGGTGTGGTTCTGGATCCTGCTGGGCCTGGCTTACTTCGCCTCTGTGCTTACCACCATCGGGAACTGGTTGCGCGTGGTGTCCCGCCGCACCCGGGCCGAGGTAGGCAAAGGCTCAGGGCTGGCCTGTGTGACGGCGTCATCCTGGTGCTCCACCAGGCCCTCGCCCAGTCTGTCTCCCTTCCAGAGAGGGGCTGCACACAGAGGTAAACTGGGCCAGGTTTGCAGGTGACTCCAGTGAAGGCGGCCAGATTTAGCAAATGCAGGGAGGCCAATTACGTGTGCATTAATGATACATGAGCATCATCGCCAAACGCCAAATTCACTGTTATTGAGTCAGTTCCAAGTACCATATATCAGGCTGTAAATCTTAAGGAAAGAGCCTCATTGTTCTCCCAGAGCGGCTGGTGGTTTTGAACGCCATGGTTGGGCGGTCAGCAGTCCAGCGCTTACCTGACAGCACCACCAGGCCTCCGTGTAAGTATGCCCAAAGGCTGAACGGCTGGTGGAGTGCTGGCGGGGTAGTGGTCACCTGCTGAGCTGCGGTTCGAAACCTCCAGCTTCCCCGCTAGAAAAAGGTGAAGGTTTCTACTCCCGTCTAGAGTTACCATCTTGGAAACCCACAGAGGCAGTTCTACCCTGCCCTGTAGGAATCGATCACTGAGTTGGAATCCACTCAGGGGCAGTGCTTTTTTTTGATACAAGTTGCACAAGATACACGTGTACTAAAAAGGTTTTGTTGCTTCTCAGTAATTTGCATGTAACTCAGGTATCTTGCAACGCTCCTGGGAGCATCCAGGCCGAGGGGCGGGTCAGAGGCCCAAAGGCCTTGGTGGGCACCAGAGGGAGAGCTGGGAGAAGGGGGTGCGTCCCTGTTGAGGGAGGGGGAGGAGCAGGGCATGAGGGCGTGGCCGAGGGAGGAGGACTGGAGGAAAGGAGGGGCCAGTGGCTGAATGTGGAGGAGGAGGTCGCCCACGGACCCAGGCCCCGCGCGCGCTGGAAGCCACCTCTCCTCTCCGCACAGATGGGCGGTCTCACGGCGCAGGCCGCCAGCTGGACTGGCACTGTGACGGCCCGGGTGACCCAGAGAGCTGGGCCCATGGCGCTTCCCCTAGAGAAGGAGGGCTCGCCCCTGCCTCCGCTGCCAGCCCCTGCGCTGCCCGCCGTCCAGCCTCGACCCCCAGAGTCCTCCGAGAAGGCCGAACCGCCGTCCCCGCCCACAGGCTCTGCTCTGGACTACCCCAGCGAGAACCTGGCCTTCATCGACGAGTCCTCGGACACGCAGAGCGAGCGCGGCTGTGCGCTGCCCCGCACATCCCGGGGCCGCCGCCCCGCAAACCCCCCCAGGAAGCCTGCGCGCCCCCGGGACCCTGGGCGCCCCCGGGACAAAAGCAAGCCCTTGTAGGTGGGATGGGGGGCAGGGGTACGGCCCTTCCCTGCTCTCCTCAGGCATGGCCCGCTTGTTTGACCAAGGAGCCCGCTTCCCAACGGGATGGACACCCCGGAAGGAGGCCACGGCTGCCAGCCCATCACCAACCTCCCTCTGCCCCCCCCCATTCCATTGCCAGACCCCAAGGCTTTCTGTGTGGCTGTCCCCCCAGGCCTGCCCCTCACTCAAAGCCTGGATCAATAAACGAAAGCATTGTGCACCGCTGCAGGCGTGTGCGCTCAGGGGACGCGAGTGGCTGTGGCGAGCTGATGCGGGGTCGCCCTGGGGCAGGAAACCCGCCCCCCCACCTCCCCACCACGCCCTGTGACTAGGGCACCAACTTTGGTCACAACTCCAGCCCCCTGGGCTGTGCTCGGAGCCCGGTCTGCCCTGCTCCCTGGTGGGGCCTGGCCTGCGAGTTACAACCTTTGCAGAGTGGGGGTTGGGAGAAACTAGAAGTCTGTGTAGTCCTGAGGGCAGTAACCTTTGCCCTCCGTCTTCATTGAAGCACGAGACCTTGCCCCGCCCCTTTCCTGGCGCGTGACCTGTGGTGGCTGGGTCCGTTGGGCGGAACCAGGGAGGACAAGATGTTGAAAGTGAGAGCCCTTCCCGAGGCCAGGGGGCGGCTTCTGGGAGGAGCAGCCAGCCCTGTGGCCCACAGCTGAGCGCCTGGGCCTCCTCTTAGGCCCGGGGCTCCACACACCTCCCACGACCCCCACACCCAGCTGAGCCCTCTGGTCTGGCTTGGGTTCCCTGCCCGCCCGCACCCAGCTCTCAACTCCCTACCACCCTCTCGGATCCCCTCGTGTGTGTGACCCACAGGCCGTGAGCGAGTCTGGGATGCGCTGTAGCTCCGACCTGCAGCGCCAGCAGAGCGACATCCGGAAGATATGGACCAAGACGAACCTGTCCCTGCAGGATGTGGACATGCTGGGCAATGACTCGGAGGCCAGTAGCATAAGTCTCCGGAGGAAGTTCATGGGCAAGACCCGGGAGGGTGCCGCCGGAGGGCACACTTCCCTGTCCGGTGGTGAGGATAGCTTTCAGCAGTTGGATGAAGTGGACGAATTGGACGAGACGACCCAGGAGGTGCGCCGCGGTCGCTCCCTGGACAGCCTTTTAGGGAGTCCCGACAAAGACGCCAAGATCGAGGCTGGTCAGTGTGAAGCCGGCGGCAGTGGGCTCCCCCGCAGGGCTGGGGACTGGTTGGAGCCTGGCTTCCAGTAGATGTACCCGGGGGTGGGGTGGGGGCGAGGGGACGCAGCTGGTTGTCCCGTCTCCAGGTGGGCTAGCGCCATCGCTCACGATTTCAACCAGGCATTCCTGGCGCGCCCCTACGGAGGACGTGATAACTCAGGCCTCGAGGGGGTGGCATTCCAAATGGGAAGAGCGGTGGGGCCTGCGCTTTAAATGCAGTCGCTGGATCGTGTACCTTCGCAGGGAGCTAGTTCTGTCTCTGGATCTCGCTGATTGAACGGACTTTCATTCAGTCGGCCCTGGCTTACCATTTGGGGGCACCTCCTAGGTGCCAGGTACTGTCTGAAGGGGAACTTGCCCCTCCCCGCTCTACCTGGGAAGCGACAATGTAATGACTGCTTCTGTAGTGAGAGCTCGCTGGATCCAGGCTACGGGCTTCTGGGGCACGGTCGCCGCTAAACTTCACAAATTTCACAAGGGGGCACTGTTAGGCCCTCCCCTAGTGAGGCAGTGCAAAAGGAAACCCAGGTGGGTGGGACCATCGCCCTTTCCCACACTGCCTCCCATTCAAGCAGAACCTGGCAGCTCCGCTCTGAACACCCTCCCCCCTCATACACTCACACCTATTTATCCAGGTCTCCTCCCTTCCGGCCGGGGAAGACCAGGGGTCTGCGGGTGGGCGACTGGGTCCACCCTCTTGTCTCTTCTTTCAGAAAGGACGTCCTCAATGTCATCACTCACCATTTTGAATCGGACACCTCATAAGGCCTACTGGGCAGAGCAGCAGAATAGGGTTGGAGGGTCCCAGGAAGGGGGGCAGGGCGCGGTTCCGGGTCTACAGAGAGGTTGCAGGGATGGGAGTGGGTGATTGGCAGGGTGGCAGGGCAGGCATGGTGGCTGGGGGGTCTTGTGGGAGCAGATGGGGGGGGGCGTTTTAGCTGTTTGTACCTCTCTCCAGCTGCCCCTGCCCCTGATAGAACTCATGGAGAGTGAAGTTTTGGAAATCCTCACCAAGGCCCTCTCGAGTGAGTCCTCACCCCTGCCCCGTTTGTCAGGAGAGTTGGTGTGTGTGTGTGTGTGTGTGTGTGTGTTGCAGAGCCTGGAGTTGTGGGAGTAGAGTTTTCCTGGCATGGCTTGTCAGATCTCTGCCCCACCCCCCACCAACCAAACAAAATCCCTCACTGCTACAGTATCAATTCTTGGCTCATAGTGACCCTATAGAACAGGGTAGAACTGTCCCTGTGGGTTTCTGAGGCTGGAACTCTGTCCAAAAGTAGAGAGCAGAGGGGCTGGTGGTTTCAAACTGCTGACCTTGCAGTTACTAGGACACCAGGACTCCTCTCAGATCTCCTCACCAATCACAAACACTCCAGGGACCCCACAGATACATCTAGGGACCCTGGTGCAATTCCTTTAGCCTAGTGGTTCTCAACCTTCCTAATGCTGCGACCCTTTCATACAGTTCCTCGTGTGGTGGTGACCCTCCCCAACCATAAAATTATTTTCGTTGCTACTTCATCACTGTCATTTTGCTTCTGTTATGAATCGAGTGACCCCTGTGAAAGGGTCGTTTGACCCCCCAGGCTGAGAACGCTGCTCTCTAGCTGGTGTGGTTTCTCTGAGGCTCTGTGGCTCCACTGGCCGGAGGTGGGGATGACTGACTTTGTGTGGCTCCTTTCCCTGGATGCACTGTGGAGACTTTGGGCAGCAATGGGTTGAGGACATGCCAGGTGTGTCCTGCTTAGGGTATGACTGCCCTAGGATGCCTCCTTGCTTGGAGTAGTGGGTGCAGATGTCCCCCCAAGCTGTCGGCTGCAGCTGCCTGCCACAGTGCAAATTGGCAGCACTTCTCTGACCTCGCCCTTCAATGGGCACTGGCCTTCTCCTGCTCCCCCACCGGATCTCACCGTAAAACACACAAAACCTGCGGTGCCCCAACAGAAAACTAAAAGTTCCCAAAGCAACACAGACCCTAGCGCCCTGCGCTGCTTCCACCCCAAACCTTACTCGTGGTTTCTTCCATCACACTTGAGGTGCCAGCTGCAGCGGGGACCCCCATCCCCCCACCCCCGCTGCTCGCTGCCCTGCGGAACCTTGTCCTTTCTTTAGGCTACAGGTCGGGGATCGGCTGGAACCACTTCATGACCAAGCAGCTCCAGCGAAACATCGAGGAGCTCCGGAAGCGCCGGAACGCGAAGGTGCGCATCTCAGCGAAATGAGGGGACAGCCAGACCCCAGCGACCGACCAACTCCTTCCCCAGTCCCCTCGAGTCCGCAGACCCAAGCCCGTCCCTGTGGAAATCTGAGCCCGAGCTCGAGAGAAATAAAAGTCTATGCATGGTCTGTGAGTCAGTGCGTGGTTGCCCGCGTGAGGCGGACGCATGGGACTCCGCCTCTCCCCGTGACCTTCATTCGGTCACCGCAGTGACCTTGAGCCTTCTCCGTCTGGGGCCCTAGCGGCCTCGTCTTCAGGGACTCGAAGTCCAGGGTTTCTTGCATGCTGTGTTAGATCTGCTTCTCCCTCCTCTTGTTGCGCAGTCTTGTAGGGTCTAGGGTCTGGGGTCTAGGGTCCCAGTGCTGTTACCTTGGGGAAAGGGACACCGCTTCCACTCTAGCTGGAGCAAGGGAGGCGCTACTCCTCATGCATATGTAGATACGCAGCCTCTCCGTCCGTCCCGCCCTCTCATTTGCATATGCATCTCTTCTACCTTCTCTGCAGCCACAGCCACTGACGGACTTTGCCCACTCCTCTCGCCCAAAGCGCGCCCCGCCTCCTCCGTTACGTAAAACGCCCCTGGACCAACCCCTTTCGGGTCTTACTCCCTGCGCAACTTCGCGTCTCCTCTGACTCCGCCCCCCGCCCGTGCGCCTCGGCGGCTCGTTAGCGGCTGGGCAGAGCCTTCGTAAAGGCCCACCCACCGGCTCTGCCGGCTCCGCCCCGCCCCGTCCGCGCACGCAGGCGCTGCCCGCCCCATTCGCCTGATTAGCATAGGGCGCTGGCCCCCGCCCCCTGCTTTGCATGCGCACGGCCGGCCCCGCCCCCGCTGTCAGCTGGAGGAAGCGGAGTAGGAAGCGGCCGCGATGTCCT